AAAAAAAAAACAAACAACCATAACCCCAGAGCATCAATACATGTAAAATAAAGAAATACATAAATTGTATTTAATAATTTTTCTAAGAGACTAGCCTAAGGAGCATCGATCTAACAAAAACGCACAACTCTGTTGGGAAAAGGAGGGATGCAAAAGTGAGGCGTGAGGCAGAAGCCGGTGAAAGAGCTGACACTCATCTCCCCCAGTAACACAAAGACAAAGCCTAAGAGTGAAGAGTCCAGAAGCAAAAACACAATGTAATTCCAAGACAGAGAAACACGCACCAGGAGAATCAGCTGTACCTGAAAGGCTTGGCACCGGGGACAGAGAAATGGGAGGCAGAAAGCTGCAGTTTCTTGAACTAGGGGAACTAGGAGACTCCTCTAAGCTAGAGGAGTGTGTGTGTTACATTTTTTGAAAAGTTAAAGAGGGTACACTGGGAAGGAAATAAACAGGTATTACTGGAGGCTGAAGCAGGAGCAGAGAGCTAAGGGATGGGGCCGTGGAGCCAACAGGAGCTCACGAGAGGCAGTGGCCACAGTTCAGGGAGCCTGGCCTCCATCAGCAGGTGATGGAAAGTCACTGAGGGATCTTCTTGGGCTGGATGTGCATTTCAGATTAATTACTTGGCTGCAGTGTGGTGGCTAGACTGGACAAGAATCATGTTAGACCAATTAGGAGGTTATTCCAATAGTGCAGGGAAAGAAGTGAAGCTGTGAGGGAAGGGGAGAGATGGAGCATTTTCCCAGTTGGTGGCTGACAGATGGCAGAAAGAGAGACAACCACAGGTTTCTCTGACTTTCGATTCTGGGTAACGAAGGTGTCATTAACAGAGAACGTAAAGGAGCAGCAGGTCGGGAGGAGCACCAAACAGCTCAGATGGGGACACAAAGAGGCTGACTATGGGAACTGGGCAAGCAACTGGATTATTAATCAAGTCGTGAGCTCAAGAGTGATGTCAGAACTGAGGACCTAATTCTGAAGTCTCCAGCTCTGGGGAGGTAGATAAAATGATGGCCCTGGTAAAACACGTCCAAAGAGAAGACAGAAAGATGGTACGATACAGAAGGCCGGGTCCGACCAAGATCTAGCACGGGGCCCACCAGAGCCACCAAGGAGGAAGGCACAAAGCACCTTGAGAAACTCATGGTCATAGACACCAACGGCACTGAGCGCTTCAAAAAGAGGGTGGTTAGTTGTGTTTCTTACACAAACAACTTAGCTCCAAGTAAACGCTAAACTTCATACAGTCTTCTAGTCTAGCAGTTGCTAAATGGAGTGATCCCACCTCAACAAACAGAGGAGAAAATACCAGATGATCTGTGTCTAGTTCATTTTATCTCATTGCCCTTTTAACTTTTTCCATGTTTTACAATATATACCATATTTTGGTAGAGCAAAATGTATAGTTCATAATTAAGTACATACATCTCTATTTGCAGGGCATGCTCAAAACTTTTTACCAATAGGGGCGCCTGGGTGGCTCAGTCGGTTGGGCGTCCGACTTCGGCCCAGGTCATAATCTCACAGTTTGTGAGTGTTGGGCCCCGCGTCGGGCTCCGTACTGACAGCTGGGAGCCTGGAGCCTCCTTCGGATTCTATGTCTTCCTCTCTCTCTGCCCCTCCCCAGCTCATGCTCTCACTCTGTCTCTGTCAAAAATAGATAAACTAGGGGCGCCTGGGTGGCTCAGTCGGTTAAGTGTCCAACTTCGGCTCAGGTCGTGATCTCACGGTCCGTGAGCTCGAGTCCCACGTCAGGCTCTGTGCTGACAGCTCAGA